TCGTAAGCCAGATTTCTCAGCTAGCTTTCTCTGCCAGCTGCTAGCCGGGAGCAGGCAATGAGCACCTACCATGTGCCTGGCTCTAATCCATGCACTGGGACAGAGACCCAGTTTTTGCCCGCCTTGAGAACACCAGACAGTGTAAGACATGAGCAGTTCTAGTACATGAGACAGGCTCGTGGTAAAAGCAGGTGCGGGGGGCCTGGGAACACCCCGCTAGTAAGGAAGGCTCCGTGGGTGCCTGATCTGAAGCCCAGAGAGAGGAGGGCTGCTCAGGAGGAGCCCCCAGTGTCTGGGTGGGAGCCATGGCTTTCAGTGAGATGGGGACCCGAAGAGGAGAGGTGCTTTGGAGGGGTGGCCCCACGTGGTCTGGGGACATCCAACAAAAGTTGGCCCCCTCTCCAAAGCAGATGGGTGCTGGGCTCTGGAGAGCAGCGGGGGTTCTGGGCCTGCTGTTGAGGTTTCCCGGAGGGTACCCAGGCAGTGTGTGGGAAGCACCGGCAGCGGGGTGCAGAGGAAATCACCGGAGACTCAACATCAGGGGGATGCCCCACGAAAGCCAGGGATGGCGGTGGAGGCCAGGTGGGAGGATGCGGGGGTCCTGGCGCCGGGCCCATCAGCAGACCCACCCAGGCCCTGCTGCTCCGGGGTCACAGGGGTGATGGGTCGGATGCGCCAGGGGTGGCCCCGCGGGAGGGGGATAGGAGGAGGGTGCTGGACTCGCGGGGAGGGGTTCAGACCCCCAGGAGCGAGGGGAGCGCCCGTCAGTGTCGAGGTCCCGAGACCTCCCAGGGCATCCCCACCTGTATGTAATGTCACTGTAGCCGGATTTCAGCTTGCTCAGTGCACAGACCCGACTTCGCGTCCACTGGCGTCACACACCTACCCTCCTCGCTCTCACAGACCGGGGCCTCGCCCGGAAGCTGTAGAAGCCACAAGAAAGGTCCACAGTCCGGAGCCGCGTGACCCACACCGCAGAGCCGGCGCCCCTGCCCAGGCCTGCCCCGCCGCCGGCGCCGCCGCGGGGGTTTTCTGGGTGTTGCTACTCCTTGCGCCGGGGCGGGGCTTTGCCCGCGCAGGCGCACTGCGCGGGGCGGCCCGTGCCTATCTAGCCGCCCGTGCTCGGTTGCTCCTGTCTGGCGGCGGCAGCATGGCGGCGGGGGCGGCCGAGGCGGCGGCGGCGGCGGTGGTCGAGGTCGGCTCAGCCGGGCAGTTTGAGGAGCTGCTGCGCCTCAAAGCCAAGTAAGCCGGCGGCGGGCGGCAGCAGTGAGGGGGCGGAGGGGGCCGAGAGGCCCGGCCGGCGGCGGGCGGCGGGCGGCCCATCCCTGCTCCTTGGCGCCCGGCTCGCCTCGGCCTCGGGGGACCGGGCCGGCGCCACCCGCGGACTCCCCGGGGTCTCCGGCTTCGACGGGCCTAGCCGCACCTCCGGCGCCCCGAGCAGCGACCAGGGCGGGGTTCGTCCCCGGCCCGGACGGCGGCCCCAGCCCCCGGGACGCGCGACCCTTGCCGACCCCTGGCCTGGGCGGCCCCGGAGCGGGGGACGCGGTGACTCAGCTCCGCGGGGGGACCCCGGCTCGCCGCGCCACCGAGCGGGGACCCGCGGTCGCGGGCCTCGACCTCCCGCTGCGCCGGGCCGGAGGGTGCTGCGGGCCGGCGTTGGCACCTTCCTCTTTAGGCTGCCTTCGCGGTGACGCCCCTGGTCACCAGGAAAAGCCAGCCGAGGCCCCGCCGGCTTAGGTAGCTCTGTCTCTCTCTTAAGATTAGCTTTTAAAGTTTGTTAATCAGCCAGCAGGTTTGCGTTTTCAAACTTAACCTGTTGCCATAGACAAGGATTTCCTGTTTTATGAATGGGTTTCGTGAGAGTCCGTGCTGGTTTGGTGCACGTGCTTCTCACTTTTTAGAATACTACAAAAGGAGATCCTTAGGGATGCATAGGCAACGTTTTTTTGGGGCGTTAATAGAAGCTTTGAATTGTGTAAATGTTTACTGGCAGGAATGCTTGTAGGTAAATACGTGCAGGTGTATGTGGGGCTCTGGAGTAATACCGCTTCAAATTTTAGACCGAGGACTGAGTTCTCTCAGCTGTGTTGTTCCGGTTGCGATGGAGCTTTAGTGTCAGGTTGCCTGGGGCCCAGTCCTCAGTTCAGCCACTTGCCTCGTTACTCCTGGGCAAGTTTCATAACCCAGCCTCAGTTTCCTCAAGGGTGGGATGGATTAGTGCCTATTCCAGGGTTATTGTGAGGGTGAGATGATGCATGTAAGATGCTACAGTGCCTGGCATGCAGGAGGCGCTCCGTAGATGTTGGCCCTTGGTATCTTCGGTGGGGAGCAGAGTGCATTCGTGGAGTTCACAGGCAGTATATGCTTGTTGAGTGAAATTTTGCTGACTGAGTTAAAGGCAAGTAGTGCTCTGATTTTGTCGTGGCGAGTGCGAGTGAGATGGGGAGTTGCCTTTGT